CAATTGAAAATATGAGGATTCAAAATTATTTGCAAATACATAACATGACTATATGACTTTAATTTGAATATTGTATTATATCTTTGATTGATTGATTGTTATTTCCTTTATATCGCATCAGCAATTATATCTTTGAGCTCTTTAATATAATGTGTATGTTCAAAGTGGTACATACCAAAGTGTAGAAAAACAGCTCAAGGCCACCAATGGGTCTTCAACACAGCGAGACAATCCCGCACCTGGAGGCAGGCTTAGCTAGCCCCTAAACAAAAATGTTTACTAGTTCAGAGAAAATGGACGTCACCCTAAACTCCGAAACATATAGATAAACAAAAATTAAAAAAACATACAAGACTAACAAAGGCCAGAGGTTCCTGACTTGGAACAGGCGCAAAAATGGGGCGGGGTTAAACATGCTTTGTGAGATCTCAACCCTCCCCTATACCTCTAGCCAATGTAGAATAAACAAACACAAAGCAATACACACAGTAAAACTCAGTTTAAAGGAAGTCCGAGTCCGGTGTTAGAATAGGTAACAGAAGAAACTAAGCAAAATGACAGTGATAACATAAATTAACAAAGTACTACTGGCAGTTACTGACATGCAAGCTCCAGACCTCAATTAATCTGATTGAAATATTATGTCTTCATCATAAGAAAATCAAGCACAATCCCTCCCGTTAGGGGTTTAATATCATACCATCATAAAATATATGAGAAGAACATAGCCCGTATCATGCCAACAACTGGTTTTAGAATAAATATGTTTATTTCCGATGCAAAGACCCTATTAGTGAATCAATATTAATTCTAAAAAATGCCAACTTTTATGACCAGACAACAGTATCGTAATTATATCCCTTCTGAATAAGTCTGTTTATAGGTTTGGTTAGCTTTTGAGGTGAATGACGACATTTTTGTGCTTTGTATAGAATATTACCATAAAAGATTGAATGTGAAATACCTGAACGTATATCATGTCTATACGTTGATTTATTTTACGAATAATGTCCTTGTACCGATGATAAAATTTAGTAAATGTTTTGACAAGTTTGTGATATCGAAAACCCTGGTGTAACAATTTTTCTATAATACAGCAATTTCTTTCGTTAAATTCAAATACGTTATTGCATACACGAGCGAATCGAACAAGTTGAGATATATAAACACCATATGATGGTGACAAGGGAACGTCACCATCTGAAAAAGGATAATTAACAATAGGAAATATAACAAGAGGCTCTCGAGAGCATGAATCGCTCACCTGTAATTTTTTGCTTAAATCTTTTATCAATGATTATTTTTGCTTTTCAATATATATTAATAAATGGCTTAAAAATGCCATTTAAATGTTCTTTGGATCTGTCATATTTTCTTCAAAAGCAAAACAAGAGGCTCTCCAGAGCCTGAATCGCTCACCTGTAATTTTTTGCTTTAATCTTTCATCAATGATTATTTTTGCTTTTCAATATATATTAATGAATGGCTTAAAACTTCCATTGAAATGTTCTTTGTATCTGTCATATTTTCTTCAAAATCAAAGAAATGCATTTTACCCCTATGTTTCATTTTAGCCATAGTGGCTATGTTTCTTGACGTACAAGAAAATAAAATACAAAATTTATACTAGATACTCTGAAACTCATTCAGCTCAAGTTTGGTTGAAATTGATCCAGCAGTTTCAAAGGAGAAGATTTTTTAAAGTAGGCAAACTAAATGAACAAATTGTGAAGAATTGATTTTTAAGGCCAATAACTCCTTAAGGGGACAATTGACAATTTTGGTCGTACACAACTTATTCGTAGATCTTACTTTGCTGAACATTTTTGCTGTTTACACTTTATCTTTATCATTAATAATATTCAAGATAATAACCAAAATCTGCAAAATTTCCTTAAAATTACCAATTAAATGGCAGCAATCCAACAATGGGCTGTTAGATTCATCTGAAAATTTCAGGGCTGACAGAGCTTGGCCTAATAAACATTTTTACCTCTCATCAGATTAGCTCTAAATGCTTTGGTTTTTTGAGATATAAGCCAAAAATTGCATTTTACCCCTACGTTCTATTTTTAGCCATGGCGGCCTTGTTTTTTTTTTTTACGAAACAGAAAATAAAACACAAACTTTATTCTAGATATCCTTAGAATCATTCAGCTTAAGTTTGGTTGGAATTGGTTCAGACATTTCAGACAAGAAGGTTTTTTAAAGTTAGAAAACATGATAAATAAATTGTGTAAAATTGTCCTTAAAGGGCAATAAATCCTTAAAGAATCAATTGACAATTTTGACCATGTGAACTTATTTGTAGATCTTACCTTGCTGAACATTTTTGCTGTTCACAGTTTATCTTTATCATTAATAATATTCAAAATAATAACCAAAAACTGCAATATTTCCTTAAAATTACCAATTAAGTGGCAGCAACCCAACAATGGGTTATCAAATACAACTGAAAATTTCAGGGCTGATAGAACTTACTTCACCTGATGAACACTTTTACCCCATGTCAGATTTGCTCTAAATGCTTTGGTTTTTGAGATATAAGCCAAAAACTGCATTTTACCCCTATGTTCTATTTTTAGCCATGGCGGCCATGTTATTTGACGAAACAGTAAATAAAACACAAACTTTATTTTAGATACCCTAAGCATCATTCGGCTTAAGTTTGGTTGGAATTGGTTCAGTAGTTTCAAAGGAGACGATGTTTGAAATAGTTTACACCGGACGAACGACGACAGACGACGACGGACGCCAAGTGATGGCAAAAGCTCATATATCCTTCGGAAAGGTGAGCGAAAAATCATCTCTTTTATCGTAAATTTTGTTATTAAGCTTCCCGTTAAAGATATAGATATCAAGATCCAGGAAAGGGCAGTATTCATTGTTAGTATTAGCTTTATTTAAAGTCAGTTCAGCTGGATAAATCTCTTAAGTGTACATATTGAAGTTGTCGTTATTGAGAGCCAATATATCATCCACATATACAAACGTGTTATTAAATTTTTGTATAAGATGCTGTTTCGATGGATCTTTCCTGATTTTAAGCATAAATTGTAACTCGTAAAAATACAGAAACAGGTCCGCAATAAATGGTGCACCGTTAGTCCCCATTGGAATACCGATAAATTGATGATATACGGAATCTCCATAGCGAACAAAAATGTTATCTAGTAAAAATTCAAGTGCAGTTATCGTTTCAAAGCAGGTCCAATTGACATAGTTCTTTTGTTTGTTGTTACTAAAAAACATATATATTCGCATTCTGACTTTTTAAATGCCCATTTAATTAGATGTGTGAAGTTTTTCTAAATGAGATTATGAGGCAAAGTGGTATATAGTGTAGAAAAATCAAAACTTTCAACAGATTCGAAATCACCAATATGAGCATGCAATTTATCAAGTACTTCCAACGAACTTTTTACGCTCCAAAAGTAATTAATTCCACTATTTTCAAATGCCTTGTTTGAACAATTTATTACCAGGTTTTTTATTGTACCAAGTGTACTAGTAAGTAGAATAGACAGTTTGGTAGTGGAACAATGGCTTGAAGACGAAATAAATGTATACTTGTATGGTGTTTTGTGCAGCTTCGGAAGCCAGTACATAGTTGGAATTTTATGTTATTCGGTGCTGCTTGTAAAGAGGTAGCTAAAAGTTTATGTTTGTTATAAGATGTCATTTTCCGAAAATGGAGTCAGTTGGAATGTAGGTGAATTGGTGATTTCCTTTTGCAGAACCTCAATGTAAAATTTACGTCAAACAATAATGATATTATTGGCAGCCTTATCAGCCGGGACAAAAACAAATTCCTTGGCGAGTTCTTTTAGCTTATGTTTGATACAAGGAATAGAGCTATTGTGGTTGTTTTTAGAAGTAAAATGTTCTTTAAAATGTTTAATACGAATATCAACTATGTTCATTACTGAATTAAAAAAAGAATCGAAGGATTTTTTGTCAGCTTTTTCTCGTTTTATCCATTTCGTGTAGTAAGTACGGAGTTAGTCATGGATGATGTTACGACACTCATTCCAATTAATAATTGACGGGAGGTGGGAGATATTTAGGTCGTTTACTGAGGAATGATTTCAACTCTCGGTTACTGACGATGTTAAGGTCTCCTGTTATAACATGGGAACTGGGGCCATAAATGTATTTGGAATTACTGCAATTTCATGACGTAGATGTATTGTCACTGATATTAACATCTTTACACACTTCGCTATAACTAAACACATATTTCCGGGTAGATTTTTTGTAAACATAACAAGAAAGAGGGAGCTCAGTATTATCAAAATAACCAGGAATTTGTTCTTTTACGGGGTGATCATTAAGAATACCGGCAATATCTACAAAATCAAAACCTTTATTGACATGTTTGATTTTAATGAAATGTTTTTTTATGATCTTCAGGGCGCTCAATTTTGGGAAACAGTTCAGAATAACAATATGCAATTATAGTTTGGACGATTTCATATTTTAGACTGCAATATGGAATTGTGTTGCAATCCTCTAAAATTAGATGTAATTTATTAACAGGTAAAGAACAGAGATAGGTTAACAGATAATGTAAGCTGTTGTTTTTTGAAATAGTAATTAGGTCAGAAATTTTTGTATTGTTGGTACAAAATTTTCTTTGATTGCGATTTATTCTATGCCTATGAGAACGGTTTTTGCGAACAGTTTTAGAAACTATATCCAAAATGTTAACAGAATCGGTTCTTGTTATATTACCAATTTCCATTAAGACCGAGAGGATAGACTGTCTGTAATTTTTTAATCCAATTTAATTCAATTATTTTCCGTGATCGTACACATTTTGAATGAGATTCCCCATGCTGCTTAATTACTACTTCTAAAGGTTGAACTGTTAATACTTAATAGGATGATTGTGCTTCTTAAGGTGTTGATAAATGATACTTTTAAATTTATTGGGTCGTCTAAAACGATAAAGATATTCTTGTGTGCGTTTAGATAAATAGCGTCCGGGTTCACCATGTTCACCTACCTACTGAATATCACATCCCGGTTTGTTTGATGTAAGTAAATATATAATACTGTTAGTTTTTTCAATTGATATCAGTTTCAAAATAATTAGGAAAATGTGCGACCATTAAACGTGGACCTTACCGTATTGTTTGTAGAAAGACGGGGACATGTACGTCATTTTTTGGCATGACACTTATCGATAGAAGGATACCCGCGATTTTTATTATTTAAAATGTTCGCGATTGTAGTATTTTTAGATAAGCGATTTTGAAGATTAAGACGTTTAGTATCATTTGAATGAGTTTGGTATTAAGTATTTTTTTTTTCATTTCTGAGTTTCATTTTGTTATCCGTATTTGTAATTGAAAGGACCAAAGACTGACGTCCAGAATATGAACCAGCACTAATGAATTGAATAAAGTAAAAAGATAAAACTGTTCGGCTAAAGACGTTAAGCGCTATCCGTCATAAAGTAACCGACAAAATACGTAAACTACAAAATAGTGTACAAAATGAATAGTGACATATGAGTTTTAGATAAGTATATCTAAAGTAATGAACATAGAGAAGTTCTCGCTCGGACACACATTCCATTATCTAGTATATCATAAGAGCATAAAACTGAAATTCGTTTAAAAATGAATTCTCTTCTGCATCTTAAATATTGTGTTCAATTATCAAATCATGTCGGATGTAGGTGAACCTTTATGTATGGTATCTGATGTATTAACAATTTTGAACACATCCTGGAAGGGTTTTTCTTTTGGCATTATGGTCATTCTTATTTTTAAAGATTTGAATTGACATAATATTATATTCCTAAGTGTCTAACTTTTATTGACGAATTTCAGATTTAGCAGTGGAATTACTTTTCAATATCATTTCAAGATTGTGTATTAGAAACCCTTTCATTCAACATTCCATATGTGACGGTTTTCAGATTTGTTACATGTCAATTCTACCACAAAATCTTATTGATTATGATATTAATCAACTCGAGATAGTTAAAATTTTATCAGCGTGTTGTTTATCAAAATTTACCTAACAAGGACAGACCCGGTTTATATAAATGCACGCATAATCAGAAAAGTTTCCATATTTACCCCTGAGTGAATCTATTTATTCATTGATATTTGTAACTATACAGGTAAGATAAATCAATAGAAATTCTTGTTTTCAAGAGTGTGTCCGTACTTAATGAAAACTATATTTGCTTTTATATTACATAAAATAAAAAAATAATCTTTTGAAAAGAGGTTAATACTAGATGTGCTTGCTATCCAATAAGTTTTCGTGTATTGCACAATAATTATATAAATCGTAAATGTCACTTGATTCTGGTGTTTTGATATAAGCACTCGTAGTGGGGCTTTATTTACTTGCTAAAAAAAAAAAAATACGCATTCAATGTGAAAACAGGCAAAGCTACAAACAGAATGAATTTTACAAAATGACATTGAGACATCCAAAAAAAGAATAAACAGTGACACACAGGCAGTGCCAACGCCAGACAACAGGTAGAATAATATAGCATAAATAAGTAGACGAGTATTTTGGGGTTTTATTGTTGCTCTGATATACCACAAATTTTTCGCCTACCCAAATGCACACGAAAAGATCTGACTTATAACTCATCTACTGAAGTAAGTTAACTTATTACACCAATAATGAAGAGTGTGTACGTGGTATGATATGCGCAAACAAATAGTGATGCAACTTCCTCGGACAAATTCGAATTCAGGCGGTTGTAGTTGACATTTTGAATTCTGAATCTAAATACATTGCTCCAATTTTTATTTTTATTTTTTAGCAAAAATGTTAAAAGCTAATTCAGAAAAGCTTTGACTCCGTCATTTATGCCTCGCTACTGACATAATTTAAATGATATACTTTTTTCTTGAATTATCCGTTGATAAATTGATAACTTATCAAGAAACTTAGGTTCCAACTCCATTATGCATAGTTGATAATAGATGGATTTGGCTATATTGTGTGTCCCATTCGGTCATATAGATCCTCAAGTATTCCTATATTTCTTTCCCCTTTTTTAGCGTTCTTGATGAATGTAAAACAGAAAAGCGGGCCGGACGAATCACATTATTTTATTGTATATTTCACTTTTATTTGCGTTCCCCTCATGTCGTATTTGCCAATGGATCAAATTCGATGAAAGAAACCATGCAAAGGCACTTGTCTCAAAAAATCATTACTGTTTTATTAAGGTATATAGGTATTTTTTCAGAAACAAGTGCCCATGAAACTATACGGGGAGATAATGCCCTTCTTGGCAATACTTTAAGATTTATCCTTATAGAATAATGCATTCTTCGATAGTAGTATAACATTTGACCTTCGTATAGTTGTTTTTACCATAAATCCACATTTACAGATGTCCCTTTCAAACAATATATTTACTTTTGTGTGAAATTGTGTCGTGTAGATGTCATTAACCAGTACAATATCTAATGAATTGTTACAAATAAGAAGAAAAGTAAACAAATCATTTAAATGTGTTATCTAAATGAGGATAATAGTTTCTAGATAGGATAATTCATTACACAGTGTTACACATGATATTTCAGCTTTGATAGACAAGTAACAAATTAGGAATATGGCAGTTGTTTTTCACTGGTTCCGTTGATTGAAAACGTTTGATTTTGTCAGTTTTTATGGACTTCCCCTTTTTTGAATTTTGAGTTCGGTATTTTTGTTTATCTATAAAAACTTTATATAACCAAGAGAGGTATAATGATGAATGAAGTTCTGAATATCATTTTCCATGATAGATTCGTGTTTTCTTAAAATAAAGATAATAAAAATATAGTGATTCTGTCAAAATCAGGATAAATCCTGTAAAATAAATGTACGAATCATTTCATAATATTCAATAACTACAAAAGAGACATACGAATACTAATGAATCGTACATCACTTTTAATATGAACAAATCATGTCAACCTCAGTTCATTTGTACTAAATTGATAATCTTCTTAAGATTTATCTGGACCCTTTGGCTAAAATGGTTGCATTTTCACCTCAAAATTTACTCTGACTACAGACATACCTGTGTATCTGGAAAAGTTTTAAGGCATAGCATGCCCTAAATAAATAAAATTCAAATATATTTTATGTTTAAGAAAATTAAAAACTTAACAGGATTTTACAGTGCACTTTTTTTCATTCCTCCAGAAGGTACTAAAATAAACTAAGTTGTGAAAGAGGTTTGAGAACTTCCCGACAGGTAATAATTGAAGTGAACTGTATTGACATGGACAATAGATGGACAATAGATACCTATTTAAACTCTGTACCTGAGTGGACCATATCAAGCGAAACTCAACTGTTTGTTACTTTTATCATCTTCTGCAGGGACGAAAAAAAGTGCACTGCAAAATCCAGTTAAGTTTTAAATTTTCTAAAACATGCAATGCCTTTGAATTTTATTTATCTAGGGCATGATATGCCTTAAAACTTTTCCAGATGCACACATTTGTCTGTACTCTAGTGTAAATTTTGAGATGAAAACGCAGCCATTTTAGTCAAAGGGTCCTCATGAACCTTAAAGTCATAGTTTGATCCTTCAAATTTGACAAAAAGATCAATATGTTTACATATTATAATTGAATAGATAATTTGTATTAAAAAACACGTGTACATATATATATTCAAATCAATAGGAAATTTTCTGCTATTGATTTATTGACATCCCGTGCTCTAATCCGCCGACATTTACTACAGTACAATTCCATATTTTTTTGTGTTTTTGTTATTTATTATCGAAGAACTCCACTTATCCACCGCCCAATTGCTTTCGATGTTAAATTCCTCAATTACAAACAGTCACAGCTCTGTTGTCTTTCAAATAAAGTGACAGTCATTACATGTCAAAGCAACGCCTTATGGTGTCTTGTACTGAAAAATTAAACATAGATTGCATTTAATTGCATATAAGAGAGTACTGGTTCATTGAAGTTCGGAAGTACCAAAACAGGTATTTCGGATCTGAGAAACAGGCAAAATGAAACCTCTTTTTTTTTTAATTTTTATTTTATACATTTTTTTCATTATTCTAAATTATAAGTCAAAATGTGTTCTATAATGATCACTAGTCGTTCAGCTTTCATTTGATACCATAAATCCAAAATAGTCTACATATTTTGAAAGCAACGCCCATGCGTAGGAACTATTTTGTTTTAAATATGTACTACTTTTTGTATGTTCTTTGAATTAGTGGGGTTACACCTTTTACCGTTATTCTAGAGTTAAATGCTATTCATATTCTTGTTTTTACTGTCTGTTTTAATATATGAAAATAAGGAGATGTCATTGCAAAGGAGAAAACTATCCATAAATACCACATGACAAAGATTGGAACAATTACAGGTGACAGGAAGACCATCAACAAGGAGCAAAACCAATACCGTATACTTAGCTATAAAAGACCACGGCTTGAACAATTGTAACCAATCTAGAAAAGAAAAGCAGCTGTCTGATTTATACTATAATAAACAAAAATGGCAAACAGCAACCAACGCCAACCACGGGATTACAGGTTCCTGCTTTAGGACAGACACATAAAGAATGTTACTGCAGGGTTCAACAAATTTGTGAGCGCTCAACCCTCCCTCTAACTTGGGACAGTGGTCTAGCAACACAATATAAAAACAACCTGTAAAATCAGTTGAAAAGTGCTAGACTTAGCAGTCTAATTAAAATATAGAACTCTGATTTCGTTTAAACGAAATCAGAGCTCTATATTTTAATTAGACTGCTAGACTTAGCAGATAGACACAAAGCACAAAATCAAATAACGAAAAGACAAAAGACAAAAGTACCGATCTAAGAGAACTCGCAGTTTTGGGTACGTTTTGTTAAACAACTGATCGGGATTTAAACAAAAATATGGTTAAGATCTCAAAAAAAAAAATAGATTTACCCAACGACATAAGTATGTGGCGTTCTTTAATTGATTATTTTTGTTTTATTTATTCATGACTTTGACATATTGTTTAGACACCTGGTTTGACTAAGCAGATTAGTACGAAACACATAAACAAATATTGAAAAGACAGAAGACCAATAAGCACTGACCTAAGAAAATTCACAGTTTTGTGTACATTTTGTTAAATTGCTGGTCGAGATTTAAAAACAATTTAGTGTTAAATCTCAAAAACTGGATTTACCCCCCACACACACACACACACATTCATGCGGCTATCCCAAGTCTGGAACCTCATTAGTAGAACCGTAGTAAATTATATCTTAGCGGTTCTTTTTCGTTTTTTGGAGAATTTGGGTGTTCTATTATAATTTGATTGATTTGTTTTATTCATTCATAACTTTTATAGACTAGTGACGATTTAGATGGTGACATATTTTTAGACACCTGTCTATTCAGACTGCGCTGTCATCTCGACGTTTCAGCTTATTTTTGTCGTTGGACTGTTGTCTCATTCGCCTTTAGCCTCCTCTTGTATTGCTAATTTCTAAAACTCCGCTTAGTCTAATTTTAATGAAAAGTTATTAGCTACGAAATGTGAATAAATATTTTGGAGTAAGTTCGGCAAGGGTCATATTAGGCGCCGATTATTAAGTTTAATGTTTCAAGATAATTAATGTTTTAAAATGATGTGAAGACATGTGAGAAAGTTGAATAGAACTTTGCTTGGCAAAGTTTTAGTTTTAAAGCGTTGATTTAGGTCAAACATAGGTCAAAATGGAGATTTTTGCGAAATTTTACAAAATCGTACAGAGTTCAACCAAATTAAGGTCTAGGAAACATAGAGCACAGGCGTCGACAACTAAATATTCAATCATATATGTAAAACGTTATAACAATCATATTTGTAAATAGATCTTTTTCGTCGACGCATGCGCTCTATGTTTCCTGTCCAAAAGATCAATTGATATTTACCCGTTTCACAGAATTTTCGTGGAGAATCTAAATGATTGTTTTTGTGACGTCATGAACAGAGCGCAAGTGCGTAATTTTTCAACAAAAAGATATATTTCCTAAACAGTTATTGTATTAGCTATGCTTCATTGTGATATTGCTCAATGAATCCCAATTTTAAATTGTAGCTAGGAATAGGGGCCGTTTTAAGGTATTATCGCACCTAATAAAAAATGAGACGGTCATGTTTGAAATTTCACTTAATGTTTTACATTTTATGTAAGAAGCAGTTAAAAAATGACATTGGTAATATAATATTTATTAACTGGGCACATTTCGAAGCAATGTCTTCCTTTAGGGACAAAAATCTTTTTTTTCGAAACCGGTATTTTCAAGGAAGTGATACCATTTATAACATCGATTACTTATCTTTATTTATGAGTAAAAATTAGTTGTAAAAATCAATGAAAAAGATATTTTTCGTGCCACTCGTTGTCCATGGTTGGTACAGGAGATTTTTAGATAAGAATTTTAATACACTTTAAATGGAAAATAGTAGTAAGCAATAATCTCTCCCTCTCTTTTTCTTTTTTTTTCAATTAAATGTGTTCATATACACCTTATCACTACTAGTATGTTCCGCATTTTGATACATATGTAAATTGTTTCAATGTCCTAAATGGTGATAAGAAATGTGGAATTTCCAGAAGGGAGTTATATAAGATAGCGAAATTTTAGGTTAACTTAAATACTCGAAAGATCTTTTTTTTTCTTTCAGACTAATATATAAAAGCACTATGGAAAAAGAGATATTAAAATTGCCATCTGTTGACATATCTAAAGCTAAAACACATAGGTCAGAAGTTGCTAAAACTGTTGTCGATGGTTTGGAAAACACTGGATTTTTGTTTATAGAAAATGTGCAGGGGTTGAACTATGATCAACTTTATGAATGCTGTCAATGGTTCTTTGGGTTACCAATGGAGACAAAGAAAACACTGCTTAGAAATATATGGAACTCCGAAAGTAACAATGTTTACCGCGGGTATTTTCCAGTAAGTGATAATGAACCAAGTCGAAAAGAAGGATTTGAATTCGGACGAGATGTTGATCCAAATGACCAAACAATTGCCCCAGGAAATTGGTTTTATGAAAAGTCTGTCTGGCCAGGTGAGGACGGAACTTTTCCTTTTAAAAAGTTTTTGCTTGAGACATACGAATATATGCACGAAACTGCTCTGGAGATTCTGAGACTTGCAGCATTAGGTTTAGGTATAGATGAGTATGCCTTCGAGCCTATATTTTCTTCCAGGCCTATGTCAACTTTTAGGTTGATCCATTATCCACCTTGGGATAAAAACCCACCAAAAAATGCTGCCATTGAAGACGGTAAGGTAGTGACTACCCCAGACCACACGGACTCTAACTTTCTAACTTTATTGACTACTTTTAATTATAAAGGACTGGAGATTTTGGCACCAGATGGTAGATGGGTAGAACTTGAACCAAGGCCAAATACGCTGGTAATGAATATTGGAGATGTATTTTCAAGAATGATGGGTGGTCGTTTTAAGGCTACTCGACATCGCGTTATAGACATTGGAATTGATCGATATTCCGTGCCATTTTTCCTCGAACCATCCTTCGATGGTGACATTGGAATCAACTTTATGTCAAAGTACGGTTCGGAGGGACCCGGCCATGTTGTGGAAAAATATGGACCTTGGGTCATGAATACTATGAAACATGTTAAGAAATACTTTGAATATAGGCACCTACCAGAATTTTGAATTCTGAATAATTAAGTGCAACATGATTAACCTAACTTTACTAGGTAGTCTCGATAATATATACTAGAACACATCCGCGACATCGCGGGTCCGTGACTGAATTAAAGTATTGAAGAATCATGTATAAGCCTTATTTTTAGCCTGGACTTTTAGTATTGCTATTGTCATCTGATAAAGTCATGCTGATTATATAAGATGCACAGTTTTCTCTGCTTTTAAAATCTTTCTGCTTGAACCCGTTGACCTGGAAATTATTAATTATTGATAATATTTATTATTTGGAAAACATAGAGGCCTGGAATTGTGTAATTTTCAATCAATACCATTGTCCTATATTGGTTATATATAAAGTTGAATTCTTTGATTCGCCGTTTTTACGTCATGCCGGCTAACAAATAGGAAACTGTACCTACGCCTTATTTTAAGTCTGTATTTTTAGTATTCGTATTGTCATCTTATAAAATTATGCTGAATAAAATACTACAATAGGAAACAATGTGACAATGATTGAATTTAGTAGTGTTAACCCTGTATAATGACCCGTGTATATAGCAAATCCCAAATACACTGTTTGGTGGTGCACCTGTCAGATACGGCGTACAGATAAGGTAATATAGATTTCGCAGGAAGAACGTCGACTGAGTATGCGCGAAAGCGTATAAGACACGGATCGATAACGTCTCCGAATTTAGATATTTTCTCAAAAATTGGCGTTTTCTGTGGAAAAAAGATTTTTTCAAATACAAATTTAGGAAGTACAACATTTATACGTCATATCGCAAATATTTCCGACTTTGTATGGTTTCAGAGGAGTTGCGGCTCAAGGAAATCGGTCTCTTCCTTTAGTAGTATAGATTTTATATGTGCTTGACTGTTATTTCATCATTAAACTTGATACTAACTACTTCAGATATTTTTTAAAACAAAGAAATAAATGTCACCATGGAGACTTAGCAAAACTTAGTCCAATCTCAGCATATAATTATTGTTTTAGTTTGTAATATCATATATTTGAAAACTACCGTATGAATATATAGAGAAGTTGGTATGCTTCAATAAGACACCACCCAAACATCAATAGTGACCATAAATAAAAAGACAGCTCTTGAAAATCGATAAATTTATTCACATAGCATAATTACGATCCTTATATGCCACATGTATTTTAAAAGACAAATGTTTCTACTAGCTATTTAGCTTCATTTAATGTACTTAAATACTATCATCTGATCGGTTGTCAGGGGGAATTTTCGAAAGTTAAAAAATATTTAAAAAAAAAAATCTAATTAAATATTTCGAAGAAGGGCAGACAAAAAAATTTCAGAGGTTGAAAACTAATTATCCTAGATAACGCACACAAAGAATGAAGTTTTTTTGAAGATATGCATTTTTAAGATCCACTTGAAAAGTCTGTCGTCAAGTACTTTTAGTAAAAATTTGTAATTCGAACACACCTATTCTGCTGTTATGACTCATTAGAAAGGTATTTAACTTGACCCATATATTTTATTTTCTAGTACTGTTAATTTTTAAATGTTATTATATCGACCTAGAGCATAAACATATAAAAATTATAGATTCTTAAGCGAGATGATGTATGAAATATTTTTCTTTTATACGTTTTCAAGACATAATAGTCAACTCAAACATGCCTAAACATAAAAAAGTGTACTCGACTTTCTCTTTTTGATGAAATTATTGCCCATTTTCTTGGATTTTTTCCAAAAAAACTGTCGCCGGGGGCAGAGATGCAAATCAATCTATTATCTTTCTCTGGAATATTTTTCGGCGAAAGTTATGCTTATGCACAAAAAAGTTCCACATATACTAAATTAGGCACATCATTAAACTTTTTTTAGTGCCCATAGAAACATATGTAAACAATTCAAATTTACCAACTTGGCCTTTTTTACCTTCTCTAACAAAGAGTTTCATTTCTTATGTTTGATTTCAACTGGGTTTTCGTCTGTAAAGATTAGGGGGTCCTCATAAGGATTGGCATCTTGATGTTTACCTGTAATTCACCATGTTTACCTGAATTAGTTCTTAACTAAAATATTGTAAAAAAGGATATTATTTAAAGATATATATTAAAAAATTAATACACCATTTTTTTTTTAACAATAATTGGTTTTTCATATATTTTCGGTCGAATGTAACCAGAAACTGTTACGTAATTATTTTTATCCGTATTTGAATTACAAAATTAAAAAGATATTCAACAAAAATTTCCATGAATAAACAAGGAAAATTCAAATCAAACTGAAAATTTCATGAAATATTATCAAGAAATAATCTCAAAATGATTTCTTTTTAAATGAAATTTTATTGAAAATAACATGAACAATCGAAATGTTCACTGACTGTATCTCATTTTAGTAATTTATTCTTTTACTTGATATATTTTTGTATTTGTGTTGCACGTAGATGTTCAAATCTAAAACAAAGTTTTATTCACGTAGAAAGTCACCGAAAGCTGTTGTCTTCTAATGCGAAGAACCATTTATCTAACTAGTCGTTCTATCTGTATATCATATTAAGAGCTGAAGTCAGTGCTCCTGGCATGCAGTCTAAGCAGACGGAAGAGTCAGTCGTATATCTGTCCACTTTTTCCACGAAAAAGGGAGAATACAAATTGGGTACATCACGTCGTGAACTATAAGGTGTTTAACTGTGGGAACTGGCTTGGTGAATTGTGAGCTACAAGTATTCTCGATTTGTCACTTAACCTTTGGACAATTAATGCAAGTTGACTAAGAAATTTTAATATACTACATCTTCGATAATAAGCAGCGTTTGATTATTTTATATAAGCTTAATGACTCTCAGAATATAAAATGTTTATTTCTATTCAAGGTCGCAACATTGTAATCAACAATACATTAGTATGGAAAATAGAGAAAAAAATATGAAAACAAAGTAAAATAAAAATTTACATCACTGTAATAGATTAAAATCTTGGGAAACTATTTTTTAATCATAATTGGTTAAAATTTAACCATTCAGTTGAAGATTTCAACTTTCGTGACGCGATTGTTCTACCGAACTGTAGTTTTTTATTTCATAATAAGAATCATTCATTCAAACATAAGATTAATAATTTTGAAGATGGGACCAGTTTCTGAAATTTTCATGAAATGCACGTTAATTGTCGATTAACCTGCGAAATGGTGTATATGGCGAAGTAAAACTGTCAGTTTTCAACCCTCTTTAAATTACTTGTAAAAAAGATTGTTGTATTTTTTACACTAACTAATTCTTTGTCAATCACAATGCCACAGCTAGGACGAGTGCGGACATCTGTTCATAGCATAAATATTGATAAATTAGTTTTTCCAAAGGGGGATTCAAAAAAATGAAAGGATATGGAGTAAATGTACATGGACAAAATCGCACACAATACATAGAAAACATAAAAAATTATCAATGAACGGGGCTTTTATTCCTGTTCTTCATCTTGACAGTTGATGTAGGGTCTTCAACAATGAACGAATCATTCATACCCTACAACAAGGTCAAGACGGCCCCTAGCGTCGACTTAAGAGGTACTATTGATAAAAATAAACAACAGTTCAGCCTATAATTCCAAAACAGATGGTTGATTTGGCCTAATGAACTTTAGTTTTAGTTATTCCGGTTTTCTTTTTTATTTACTATCTAGCTTATATCATTAACTGCTGTAACAGTTGTCGAGAACCAGCAATAATTTCTTTCTTAATTTTAATGTTCGGGAATTAATTGAACCAATGTATGCATATACAATGTATACTAAACTAAGTCCTATATGCGCGGTTTTTTTTTTTTTTTTTTTTTTTTAACATTTATTACGAACCTATAATCTGTTATCCACAAACAATATTTCATTCAGTGATTGTTGATCGCAATCTAATGCTGCCGAAGATTACCGGATCGTAACATGGATAAACAATCAACACAGATCGTGGAGAACTTGCAAAATAAGTGAATTGATAAAGCGATGTAAACTTTTTAATGTTTTTCATGCGTTCCCATTTGTCAATCAAACTTGCCATTCCAGTTTTTAAATGATTTGCTGTATTTAATTTGTTCCTTAAGAATGATTTATAACCTTTTAACTTCCAGTGCATGTTTATTTACATTATTTCATCACGTTTTCCCTTCGCACTTGCGCTATGCGGTTGCCGAAGTTCTAACGAGAGATCTCGTAGCTGAGGTCACTGCAAACGGAACAAAATCGTCGAATTAGAGTAAGGGAAGACAATACTTCAAAAGCAGTAAATTTCTGAAGATTTTGATAAGATAAACGAATTTCGTTTGAAACAAAGTACCTGTACACTTGTTCAATAATAAAACTTGCCATTCAAGTAAAGTTAAAACATATTCAAGACAATTTTTTTTCTAATTTGAAGTATCATAACATTTTTAAAACATCTTCAAACTTGCACAACGGTAAGACCATTCTCAATACTATTTCTAAGGTTGCCGTGAATATATTATTGAAAATATCGAAATGGGACTTACCATTTTAAGGGCTTATGTTAAACCATTTATAAGTTTTGTTATTTGCATTAGCTTACAATTAAAACGGGAACACATAATATATCGCAAAGTAGATACTCGTCTTGTTCATTTGCAGACTAAATGGTACGCGAGGTAGTATAAGTGATCACAAAATGACACAATACGGCCGTCAAAAATGACTGTAGTCCATTTTTTTTCAAGTTGTCCTTAACAAAGATCATCTAATTCATTAAACTATGGAAAAGAAAGGAAATGGTGTATAAATTCTTGACACAAAAATCCTACACACACTTGGCAAAACAAAGGCAATGAGTATGACAGTTAATGATATTCTACATCTCAAAGTCATAATGAGGCCTTCAGCAAAAGACAAAAGAATATTGAATAAAATAAATTATTTATAACAAACCTTTCTTAAACTGTCTGTTCATAAATTTTAAATTATTAAGACATTTAGGTTTTCACTCCCTCAGGCAAAGTTGACCTTGGGTGGATTTGGCTATTATTTGTAAATCCTTTTTGGTCAAATAGCCGGCGTTTTGCATTTGCGCCGATCTGCATTTCACTTCCGCCGTTTTTTTCTTTCACTTGCGCCGATTTTAATATTCTTTCATTTGCGCCGATTTT